TTTGTGTATCTACATCGAAGTGCAATTATTTTTTTAAACCTATCGTTTTTTTAAATGTCATTTGTTTCTCAAGCCGAAAATTTTTTCGCTACAATCAATAATGGAAGCATTGTTTGCGAAATTGTTTTTTTCCGCCTTGCGGCATTTCTTGATTTAATATTATCTTTTTAATTAAAAACAGTATTTACATTGGCTTCAAACATATCTTCCGCTTCTAATTTAATCGAAGAATATTACTTGTTGCATATTTTTCAGACAAGTTTGCGTTTCATTAAATTTTAATTTAGAATTCTTTCGTTTTATTTTTTTAAAATTAAATATGGAAGTTTAATATTAAACTACCATAAAAATCGAAACTACGCTGAACCATAATATCGTGATAGTTTGCCACAACTTTAAACAGGTGCAGCAACTAGCATAAGCAATCATACAATTATCGATTCTGCGGTGAACTATTATATCGTATTATTAGTTTGTTTCAACCTTATTAAGTACCCATGTTTCATTTTTTTTTTTTTTTAATGTTCAACCATAGTATTGTGCAATCAAGTTTAAAATGATCTAGTTTGCACTATTCTACGGTTCAAATGAGCAACACATTAAGGTTACAACCTTTTTGAACAATATTGTGATTCGTTTCCAACAGTGTAAATTTAAAGGAATTTTATTTCATATTCACTAGAGGCCTGTTTCGATCACAAAATTTATTTTCATAAAAACGGACCCTTCACAAAATATTTTATCTTTTAATCGGACTCTTCACAAATTTGTTTATTTTCATTATTGTTTTGTTAATCGAATGAACCCTTCCCNGGGGGGGGGGGGGGAGAAAGACGGTTCGAGACAAACTAAGTTTCTCTAAGTTTAAATTCCAAATGAAGTATTCTAAGAAAATACTTCTACTTTTACAAACATTGTGTTCGCATTCTTATTAATATTAAATAATATTTTTTTTTGTAAATAAAGAATTGATCAATTTATATTTATTCATAAAATTAATTAATAGAATATTATGTAAATAAAAATTAATTTTTGGCAATATTTTAAATAAAATATTATAAATTTAAGAATTGTTTAAGTTTACTTAATGCGTAACACAATAAAAGTGATACATTACTAAGTTGTGTTATTTAAAATATATCAATTGAAATAATTAAAAATGTGAGTGATTTTGTTTCCATTATTCATCCGAAATTAATGTTCTGTGTCGAGCAGTATAGGCTAAATACCAAATATTTGTATGTTGCTTCTCTAATTTAATAGCAGCAATTGTTGAGCAGAATCTTGTATCTATTTACAATTTAAAAACTTCTTGGAAAGGTTTTTAGCAATTTTTGCAATGACAGGGCCCTATTTGCACAAATTCACAAAAGCAGGACCCTGGTTGAACGAATGTGACGTAACTCTTATTTTATATTCACAAATTATGAATAGTTTTTTCACAATTTTACTAAAACAGAACCTTTCGCAAATTGTCTGGACAGACCCCTGATAATTACATACAATATTAATTTTATTCTAATTAAAAAAAATAAATCAAACTCTACGCATTTTAATTTTTTTCTTTCGTGATAAAATACTACCCCCAATGAGTAACGTATTATAAGTAAAATATAATTTTTTTTACATACAATATGCCATAACTACATTGTTGCTAAACCGGTATGACTTCATGATAATAATAAGGAAGAAACACGAACCTACCTTGACGTAACCGAATGGCTGAAATTGTATGAAACTGCGGATCACGTAATAATAAAAAAAAAATGTAATCATTTCCCCTTCCCACCATCATCGATCCGTTACGGTCGCAGCGAAGGTTGCACAACAATCGTTTGCGAATCTCTTTTGTGCCCTGGACTTAATTCCACGAAGTCGTTATGACCCCTTCCTTTTTAAATAAAGAATGGAACACCATTTGAAAATTCGCGCCACTCACTTTCGTCAATTGTCTCTTTTACAACTCATTGCGTCATAAATTCTGGTTGCTTATTGAAACCATGGAACAATTTGCAATCAAATTTATATTGTCTGCAATTTTCAGGAACTGTATCGAAATTGTTAATAAGTTCAACGTTTTGTTTGATTAAATAACACTATGAATAAGTCATTATTTTGTATTTATTAAATTGTTATCGAAATTATTATATGGTTGTAGAATAAATTTTGATAATTTTCATCTTTCGAAAACGATAATAATGATGTAATAATTAATTGGCATTCACATCAGCGTATTATAAAAATGTATTGGATCTACTAAGTTACAATGGACTTAATTATAATTTTTTCGTAATTTTGCCATAATTTTTTTTATTGACGAAATTTAAATAAAAAACATTTAGCTTGCCTATAATCAAATTTATATATTTAGTTGACGAGTTAGTTATAAAATTAACTATAATCATATTTAAGTATTAATTTTCGGGCAATGCTTAAAATTTGATAAATTTGTAATACATTATTTGATATTCTTGTGTTTTTAACGTAGTTTTTTTATTATCTTTCTATTTATTTTTCTTTATCGGAAGATTAAAATGATATGTGTAACTGGCCATTATAAATCAATGTTTTTAGCTTTCTCCTATTTCTTAACAACACTATAAAAAAATTCTGGATTAAATTATGGTCAAAAATACCGACACTTAGGCTGTCGGTACTTTTTACCGTAAAATCCATTTTTAATGGAACATGTTACGGAACAAAAACATTCACATACTGTAATTTTAAAATAATAATTACCTTAAAATCACTAAATCACTCTTAATTAAATAAATATTACTGTAAAAATTACGATGTAATATTCCACGCTAAAATTAGGTTTTACGAATGATGCACCGAAAGTGCCAGTACTTTATTGCGCAATTTGATCCGGAATTTTTTATAGTGTAAATAATGTGACTAATTAGTGTCTTATAATTAAACATTTGATTTCTGGCTTTGGTTTATTAAAAAGAGAAAAAATTTACTAAAGTATTACTTATAGTAAAATAAAATTACAGTATTACTTATATTAACTTCCCCCCCCCCTTTTTTTTTTTTTATAAATACTAAATTTGGTAATTCTATTGCATTAAATTAACCGAAACTAGGATTTTATAAAATTGTAATCTAAACACCATAAAAGTAAACAAATAAATAAAAAGCTGTTTTCCATAAGCAAAAATTTATTTAATTTCAACCTTTCAAAATATGTGTTAGTATGTTTAATCTGAATGGAAATAAAGTTTGAGAAAACTAAATAATGTATCGTTTGCATGCAACTCTCAGAGAGAGCTAACGATTTTCGTCCAAAATTATTTAATGATATTTATATCGTTAGCGTTTTAGGAGATAATGTTTTGAAAGCATAAATTTGTAACATATTATTTGACTAGATAACATTGTTTATCCTAAAGATCCAATAAAGCTATTATGCAGTTCTATGCATTTATTTTCTTACGGGCGTGGTTTTTTTCAATCCATATTTTTTTCGTGATTGAGTCCATAAAGGCGTAGGAGCTGTAGGTGATTAGTTTTCACGCCAGTTATTTTCTATTCATTCTTTCCAGGGATTTTATAGCATAATTGATATAGGGTGGTTCAAAGAAATGATTACTTCGAACAGAATCGTGCATTTCCTAAACTCAATTCAGTGACAGTTTTTTTTATTAATGCAAAATAAAATAGAATGCAAAAATGAATTTTATTTTTTTTATTTTTTAACGAACAACCTTGATTTTCCTTAACCTTTCAAGGAAAAATAAGCTACGGTATTTCCACCATTGTTTTGTGATAGAATTTTCCCGTAATTTAAATATTTGATGTAACTCGTTTGTTCATGTAAGTTTATAAACATTAAATGCCTTTTTAAATTGAATGAAAAACCCGAGCAATTTATTGTAATAGATGCTATCTTGTTCAATAACTTTCTTTTCATGTAAAATGGAACTCCCTCAGTTATGAATAGTTCCCTTTCTTCTGAGGAAAAAAAAAGTAGAATATCTATATATTTCATTCATGTGTTCATGCATAGGCTATATCACATTTATTTGCATACAAAATAACTGTACCAGCGTATGACCCTTTGGCGAGAAAACCGTTCGAGAGAAAGGAATAAAATTTTATATTAGAGTATTTAAGTTATTATAGTTATATTAGAGTTATTAGAGTATATTATATTAGAGTAGAGTATTAATTTTATATTAGAGTAACGATTTTTCGCGATTATAGTTACGGTAGAAATAATTATTAAATAAAAACACTTGCGTTTTTAATTGCACAATTGGGTATAATATAAAAAAAACACAACTACTTCCACTTAGTAGGAATAACATTTACCATGACGCAATGCTAAATTCTATGCCACTATCCACATAAATCAATTATTAATCAAAAATCGAATATCAATTACTTTTCGTTATAATGCAATAAAATCTGGCATGCAGCTATTTAAACGATCAAACACTTCGTTTGTTTATTTGTGGCTTGAAGTTAGGCTCGCAGAAAATGCCGTTCATGGGTTAAATTTAGCAGGAATAACACAACCTGTGACGTAGGCTATAGTATACCCAATTGAAAGTTATCCCGAGAGCAAAAAAAAAAACTTAAAATACAGTTGGAACAATAGTTTTAATACGAAAAACGGTGGAGTTAGGGGGAAATTAAGAAAACAATATTCAATAAATTTTCGCCATATTAGCGATTCAGCTTCATTGACAGCCTGGGAAATTGATACACCTTGACAGGAGGTTATAGGTTGGCCAGGTTTTTTTTAAAATCATTCTCTATCTGAAATATAAAAAGGAATTTTAAAAAATCATTATTTCTAGAACTCACAACCTGTTTTATTTTCTGATATACTTTATTATAAGACATTTTATCTGATATACTTTAATTTGAGCCATATTTCTATAAACCATTTAATAAAAGCATTATTGATCCTTTTATTTATATGTACTTTATTTTATTTTTTTTAAAAATCGCAGACATTGTTTTTAATTTTTCATAATCTTCCATTTCAGGTCTTGGCATCGTACTAGTGTCGATGAGTGGGGTGGCATGGCGTCTCACATCCAGGGATTCCCCTTCATGTAGAGCTATGTTCGGTCTCAGAAGGACGAGGCATGAGCCACACAGAAGGTTCGTGCCGCGTGTACCTCATTACGGGAGGCCGCATCCTTTTAGTGGTAAGTTTATTGTTATTATACCACTAGGTACACTATTTAAATACCTACAATATTTAAAGAGGGAAAAAAATGTATAGAAAGTGCTTGACTGACGATTCTGCTCATATGCATGATGTTCCGTACTCTCTGCCCTTAATATATTTTTAGAATCTTTGCCTAAAACGAAGTTAAGAATTGCATCCAAATTAGCGCGATTAATAGTTTACGTAATGAAGAACAGTATTATCCACACCATACATTACACATCACACTACAGTTGACAACACACAGAGAGAAACATCCATGCCCTCAGACGGATTCGAACCTGCAACCATTAGCTTCGCAGTCAGGCACGCTAACAGCCTGGCATTGTTATAAGCTAAAATACGTATTACGCGTAGATAAGGTAGATGAGATCCCGTCACATTATGGCTAAACACACCTTAATCCTTCAATTCTCTGGGTTTTAATGGGTATATTTTGTTTAATTTTTTTTAATATATGAGTTACCAGATATTAGTTTTTAACTTGGCATCAAACGTGGCAAGCTTTCTGTATATTTGTGTCACATGAGCACACATAAAACATTAACTCTATCTGTCAATCTATTCGTAGACAAACAGCTGTTCAGAGTTGACGATTCAATCGATTAAAAACGTGGCCGTGATCAAAAGTATTGTCTTGAAAAATTGATACAAGTGGATAACAAGTTAATAGAATAAGTTAACAGATGTACATAAAGAAGAACCATTTGGTAAATAATTTTTAAATGTAATCAAAACTTAAATTTAAACTTGTGTAATTTAGGTGTAAATAGAATAAAAATTGAAAATATTCAGCGTTCCTTCGAAGGCTTTGAAAATATTCAGCGTTCCTTTGAAGGCTTTGTAGTCATATGAAATAAAAAGTTTTAGCCATATGCTATTTTTGTAACTGTTGAGGGTTTGTAACAGTTATTCATGGCTGTTAGGTTAAGTTTAGTTCAATTTTTATTCCTTCTTTTTTTTCTTCTTTAAATACCAATTCAATCTAAGCGTAAAATTATCAGTTTAAAAGATGTGCAGTTAAAATTATAATACATACGGTTTAAAGTTGATACATGGAAATCTTTTAAAGTTGATGCATAAAATTGATTATAAAAATCTTTAAAAAATACTTTTTTTTCTTCTTTTTCATGAACAAAAACAGTTTTCTGTGCAATCGTCACAATAATTTTTTTTTTTCACAACCATGTTTCCGTGTGTATTACGTATTTATTTTATTTTCATACCGTAAATTTCGTAGGAAATTTTTTAATGTTGTTATGTTGCTTTTGTTTACATCTTGAATTTATCATTAATGTATGTTTGTTTTTCCTTAATTTTTTATAGCAATGTTGTATCCAGACATAACGCTGCGACCTCCTCCGCCTTCCTACCAAGCGTCCATGCAAGAATACCGGTTGCGTCTGCTATTGATGGACAGGCAGACACCCCCTATAACTCATCCCCCACCACCTACACAAGCACCCCCACCTCCTCCGCCCATGTACAGGGGACCAGCTACTGTCTATCCAAGGTAATATTTTGCTCTAATTTATTTCCTGCATTAATTTGTTGCAATAAATAATCATGACATAATGGAAACCTTTTACACCTATTTTCTGAAGTGGATGTAAAATTCGGGATTTAATATTTTATTTTTCATTTATCAAATATGATTTAAAATCATTTTCATCACACTGTGAAATGTACCGGAACTCTAGATGCCTGTGTACTTTTTGCCGTAAAATCCATTTTTACCGCAATATGTTGTTGTGCAAAGAAAAAGAAAAAAAAATCTGATATACCGTTATTTTTACAGTAATAATTACCGTAAAGTCACTGAACCACTCTAATTAAATAAATATTGCTGTAAAAATTACGGATAAATCTAATATTTTTCACTTATTTTCTGCATCAATGTAATTCACTTAATGCTGCGTCAATGGCTTATACCGAAATTCGACAAAAATTCTTTTCAGTGCACCACCCCCTATGAGTTAAATAATTCAATCATTTCTATAATAGGTCTGAAAACCACCAGCTGATGTTTTTAAATGTTCGTGAAATTAAAAGGAAAAAAAAACTGGGGACTTCAGGGGCTCATCAATTATCAAACATATAAAGTTATTATTTTTTTTAAAATTTGAGGTGCTAAATTTTTAATTTTGTTTTTTATTTTAAGCCCACTTTAATGAATTATCTTGCCCCCCCCCATTACCAAATCCTCCAATCATGGAGGGTAAAGTCTTCTAATTACAATGATCATCATATCTCTATTAAAATAAGAAAGAAAATTGCAGCAATCTCTTAGGGCTCAGTGGCGCAAAATTAAAAAGTTGCGCCCCTTTAAATACCTATATGTCGACATTTTATATTGCATTGGTTATCACTCTCATTTAGTAGTTACGTGCCAGTCGAGTCATCTAATTTATTGTATATAGTGAATTTTTGCAGCAGAGTGTATAATTTTCTTCATGTGATTTTGTGCATGCGCCGAGTATAAAAACTAAAAACTGTTTTTACAATTTTGGCTCTAAATAAAATCTAATAGCAATATTACAGATAAATCATATTACTTTATTTCCCTGCCGTTCTTTTCTCTTCTTATACTCTGATTTTGCAGGTTAAATTTATAAAACTAAATGAATGAAAGTGGTATGTAACAAAAATAATGAACAATTCACATACGTATTATTTTGTTACGCTATTTTTCTGCCACCCCACCATAACTAATTTGTTTTTAAGGATTTTCGCTTCCACTACCTTACGTTTTCTTACATGCCCTCTTTATCAATATTGCTAGAAGTGAATTATTTCATTATAATCATTTTTATATATATATATAAACTTTTTTTTTTCTTATGTTTTCTCATTGTAACTGCAGAAATATTCAATAAAATGTAACNTATATATATAAACTTTTTTTTTTATATATAGTTTACCAAAAATATTCTGTTAAAATAGTAGTTTACCAAAATCTATAACACTAGTTTGCCAAAAAATATTCTGTTCTGTTATAATATACATATTTAGACTAAAGTAGTGGGGGGAAAAGGTGAGAAGAAAAAGTTCAAATTCTTAATCTAAAACCCTTCATTTTACAATAGTAATCGTTGTATAAAACAACCTTACAATTTCATTTAAGAAAATTAGTTCTTAATTCCTCGTTTAAAATTTTTTACCCCTTTCAATTAATCCATTGTTTTTATTTCCATATCTAGATTCCCGGTGAGTGTTGGAATTTCCGACTACAGTCGACCTCCTAGCTATCGTTCTAGACCTAGTTCAGCTGGTCAACCCAGTCCAGTAGGGCCAGAAGAAGTTGATATAATCAATAATCCCACTACATCTAGCTCACACCTTCCTAGTGACGTCATTTCAACTCGCTCTTCTTCTTCCCCGGCTGCACCACAAAATCGCTCAGCGCCATCTATTGCCACAGCTAGTAACCACGTTGAAGTGGTCGCTCAAGTCTAACGACAGATGGCACCACTATATATATTATACATAAAACACTTTTTCCAGTGACTGAAGATATTTGAGAATTCCATTTTGTAAATACTGAAAAAAAGAAGTATGATTGAAATTGTTAATATGGAGAATAATTATATATTTTCGCCATTTTCGATCCTGATGAAACTATTGTAAATAATTTAAAACTTTATGCACAATGTGTTCGATAAACTAGTTAAATTTCATCATCATTAGAATGTAAACAATGACTGCAACATTTATTCCATTTAAATGTGTTAAGTCATCTGCGATATAAGATATCACATTCATTCATTTCATTTACAGTTCAACTAGTTTATCAGAATATATATATAAAAGAAAATATGTTATTCAAGATTATTAATACCAAACATGATTATTGCTCATCCTGTAAATAAAATAATTCACTTCTTTTTAAAATTAGGTTTATTCAAGTCAAAAGTTTATTAAGCTTATTTTGCTTATAAATAAAAAAAAGTTATTTTTTATTTATCTTCAACAAATTTTGACAAAAAAATTATTTTTACAATTTTTTGCGAATTATTTTCAGTTTTATTTAGGAATAATTTTATGCATTTATAGTAATTAATTTTCCTATCAAATTTTAATTAAGATTTATTTATATTAAAAGAAAATGTGATATAATAATCTTGGCGTTTATTCAGCCAATAAAGCATATCTTTTGGGGTTGATCTTAACATTTTTTCTTTAAACAATGAAATTCATCATTAATAATCATTATAAAAATTTTAATAAGTTTAACAAATTTTATATGTGATTCCTTTCCTAAAATAGTGGCAAATCCTAATAATTTTGCAAACCTAATTATTTTTTAATCAGTTTTTTACTCTGGATTTTTGAGATACCTATATATAAATAATGAATATCCATTACATGTAACAAAAATTTATTGTTTTTTATTACATATACTTCAGTGAATGCATTAGAACTAAAAAGATAATAAATTTATGAACTTACATTATTTATTAAATTCAGTGAAGTGCTTGCTATCCTTAATTTATGAAGTGCTTGAATTTTATGCTATAGGACAAACATATTTTGCAATATTTATTAAAATAACTGAAAATGGTTACTATCATTAACTTTAAGTAGTGATTTAAAAAACTATGTCCGGCAATACGAATCATTCTGATTTATATGATGTTTAACATATAAACTTGATATTTAATTGNTTAACATTTTCTCTTTAAACAATGAAATTCATCATTAATAATCATTATAAAAATTTTAATAAGTTTAACAAATTTTATATGTGATTCCTTTCCTAAAAGTGGCAAATCCTAATAATTTGCAAACCTAATTATTTTTTAATCAGTTTTTTACTCTAGATTTTTGAGATACCTATATATAAATAATGAATATTCATTATATGTAACAAAAATTTATTATTTTTTATAACATACTTCAGTGAATGAATTAGAACTAAAAAGATAATAAATTTATGAACTTACATTATTTATTAAATTCACTGAAATGCTGGCTATCCTTAATTTATGATGTGCTTGAATTTTATGCTATAGGACAAACATAGGTGAGACATTTGCAATATTTATTAAAATAACTGAAAATGGTTACTATCATTAACTTTAAATAGTGATTTAAAAAACTATGTCCGGCAATACGAATCATTCTGATTTATATAATGTTTAACATATAAACTTGATATTTAATTGCCTTAATTTTTTTTTTTTTTTTTTTAATTTTTACAGCTCAGATAAGTTTGTTAAGTTGATAAAAATTAGAAGTTGATAAAGATTAACCCCTTTCAAAATCTATTATCATGGTTAATATATGGGAAACAGTTTCTATTGTAGTCAACTAAATTTTGAGGAATGATACATTTTGATAGCATAATGTCTAATGAATAATAATGAAAATTACTTTTGTAATTAATTTTTCAACTGCATTTACATTTTATAAAAATAAGTATCTTGTTAAAACTTTTTAATTTTTTATACTTGAAGGACTTCAAAATTTGCAGTTTTTTGTATTTCTTTTGAAATTTATCAAATTGCCATATCCTCTTTCATGTGCTGATACTTCATTTTTCTTTTTTTCCTTACCTGTGAATATTTTTGTACAGAACATAGATAAATTGTGCCATATTATGTAATTACGTGTTGATATTGCATTTGAATAAAATTCAAGTAGATTTAATATTTGTCATTCTTTTTGTGTCATTTGTTTTGTGCAAAAATATGAATAATTAGATTAAATATTTTTTTAAAAAAGCACACTTTTTAATATAATTGAAGTTGTCAAGGCTTTTGTCCAATTATGAAAAAGTTGTTGAAATCAATAAATAATTTTCAATTTATTTATGAACTTAAGGCAGAATAGGGGTAAATTTTAAAATATAAAAAAATTAGACCACGAACGCTTTTCATTTTTACAAAGCTGTGACTTTTCTTAATATTGATATTTCCCTCATATTCGTAATTAATGAAAAAAATCGTAATCATTAAAAGAAAAAATTATGAATCATTCATAATTTTATCCATTTTTAGCGCTTGCTCAAGGTATGCGAAACTCAACCTAACAATCATGAATAACAAAAATTTTAAAAATAGTATAAAATATGCATATAATAAAAACTTTGTATATTTTGAAAAAAAAGCTCACTATATGCAGAGATCTAAAAATAGCATAAAACACATTAACATAATTTTAAACACATACACATTTTCGTATGGATATATATATATACATAAGTATATATATATATAATATACAACAAAAAATTTACTTGAAAACGAGAACACCCTATTAACTTAAGATTTATTTATTTAATCAATAAAATTTCTTGATGTTTCGTAATTGTTCCTCATAAATTTCGCAAATTAACTTTTTATTTGAACAAATTTAAAAGAAATAATGTAAAAACATTGTTGTAAAAATGCTGTCTTTGATATGTATTTTGTCAACAAAATTTTTTAAACAATGAATTTAGAATTCGTAATGAGGGAAAAAACAAAATAAGTTTTTTTTCCTGCTAATAACAATTCTTAATGGATATCCGGATTGTAAAAATAAAAATCGGACCTCCCTGAATAACGATTTATCTAATGATCGGATGTTCACGATGTCGGAGTCAATTTAAAGGTTCGAGGAGGTGACCTCAAATATGCAAATTAATTAGTGCAGACGATATTTTAAATTACGAAATCAGACAAAAACGCACTTTTTTTCGACGGAATCGGATTTCTTACCCTGAAAATCTGGGGAATATAATCCCAATAGTTTGGTCAGGAGAGCTGCCAAAGTTTTGATGATGTTAGTTTTACTTTTTGCGTATTTCACCATATCTCGAGAACTTTTTAAGCAAATTGAAAAAAAATTTTTTGCACACAATTATAAAATTCGTTTGTCTAAATATATTGCAAAATTATATGTTTATCATTTCATTTATAAATAGTCGGAAATACTTTTGAATTGTTTTTTTTTTTTTTTGCATCATTTTAAAGAATAGAATACATTTAAAAGAAAAGGCAAAACATAAAATAGTTCTAGGACTTAATTATATAATAAAGAAGATCCTTAAATGTGAAGACCTGATCATTAGATCAAACGTTATTCAGAGTGGTCCGATTAATTTTTTGCGCTCTGAACACATTAAAAAAAATACAGAAATCGGAGGAAAAAAAAGTTCCAAAATTATGAGCTTGTGGATGAGAAGATCGAAACAAAAGCGTTTCACTTCAAAAGATTAATCTGCGGGTGATGTAATAATGTATTTTTTAAGTGATAAAATGGTAGCTTAAATGTTGATTGCAAATTTTAAATATTTCTGCATCAGGAAATGATTGAAACTTCAATTGTCCTTTCCAATTTATAATCCTTTTAAACGAAATGTAACAAAAAAAATTCATTTATTAATAATTTATTTTTAAACGAAACACCTCGTAATATGTTATGCAATAATAAAATGCAATATTAGTTCGCTTAATTCTACTAGTGACAAGAACTAAGTTACAAAATGCTATTCTTTATTTTTCCTGGGAAAAAAAAATGAACAGAGTTTTTAAACCGAAAATTAAAAAGTGTGACTGCGATGTTTCAACAAAGAAATTTAATCTTGAAAAATCAAAAATTACGGCAGAGCCGTTTTCTTACTCTTTTTTTTAAATTGTATTTTTATTAACTTGCTTTTGTGGTAAGAGTGAAAAAAAATAAAAAAGGGTTTCGCTTTATTAGATTCGAATAAATAACATTTGATATTTTATATGGAATTTTTCTTTAAACATTAAAGAAATAAAAAGATGCGATTTTTTTGGTTTGAATCTAAAATTCAAAACTACACATTTTGTCCATCTGTCGTTGAACAGCCGACTCAATTTTGGGTTTACGACTACTAAAGTTCAACTCTAAGCCTTGTAATTTTGAAACAAATCCAGAAGACAAGGAAACTCCACAGATTTATTGATTTGTTATGGAAATATGGAGGACTTGGCGACTCGACAGATTTAACGTGCATCTGTCACCATTTANTTTTGAGTCAGATTGTTTTTCGTTCATTGTTTTACAACCACTCTGAAAATCCATATTCGGAAAGAGTGAAAGTTGGCAGGTATGGATTTTTCTTGAAACATTAAAGAAATAAAAAGATGCGATTTTTTTTGGTTTGAATCTAAAATTCAAAACTACACATTTTATCTTATCTGTCGTTGAACAGACGACTCAATTTTTAGTTTACGACTACTAAAGTTCAACTCCGTAGCCTTGTAGTTTTGAAACAAATCCAGAAGACAAGGAAACTCCAGTACCCCCAGATTTATTGATTTGTTCTGGGAATATGCAGGACTTGGCGACTCGACAGATTTAACGTGCATCAGTCACCATTTAGTACACGGGGAGTCTTCGCCCTGCGGGGATAGAACCCACGAACTCTTGTACATGGGCCCAGTGCCCTACCAACCAGGCTATCCCGGCCTTAAAACTATACATTTGTCAGATTTTAGATTTTTTTCAAAAAATTAATTTAACCTGGTGAAATCCGTGATAATGATAAAGAAAAAATTTCTTATAACGTTAACTACACAAAAAAACGAAGATATTTTTTAAAAAAATCGTCAATTTTGGCGACATTTTTCCACCTAGAGGAAAATTATCAAAACCACTGCATTATTTTCAGTTTTTGCAAATTTTTATGAACCCAGGCAATGCAGCATTGGAGAAAGTTTTTAAATATTAAAAAATTAGACCACAAACGCTTTTCATTTTCACAAAACTGTGGCATTTCTCCATATAATGTTTTGCGCAGGCTAAACTTGACCTAGCAGTTATGAGTAACAGTTGTAAACTCACAGCAGTTACAAAAATAGCATATTATTCGCAAAAAAGCATCATTTCATATTACGACGCAGTCTTCGAAAAACAGCCTTTACTACTACCTTTCTGAAACTGCCGATGACAGAGTTGTATTGGTATAATTTTGCCATCAGAA